TAGACTGAACTCCTTATAACATTATTTGCATCAGACTTTTCTATGAGCCGAGCATGCGTTTTAAAAATCTGTATTAGACAATCCAATAAATTGGACCCTGCATCATTAAACCAGGAGGAATAAATCATCATCATGATTTTTTACTACATGGTCCTGTGACCTACCAGCACCTGACTGTTGTTGACAGGCATAGGGATTGTTTACGAAGGAAGAATAAATCTTTGGTTCAGTGTGTCAATACTAGGTCTACTGGTAATTTATATGACCGTTACATTACCTAGTGCTGTGCTGTATTGTCAAGTAAGTAAAACTCCTAAAAAATGTCCTGGAAATTTCTTTAGAAGAGTTGTAACCTGTACTTGATAGATGCGATGGTGATAGTAATGATTGTTTGTTTGCTTTCTTTGGTTGGGAAGAGACATGTCCCGCATGTTCTGTTTACTGATGAGACTGTTGACTCTTGCAGGTCCTGCTGTGTAACCCTGTGTGTATATTGGGCTACACGATAGCCAGCTGGCGATTCTTCCGGGAGCGAATCGAGGAAGAAGAGCTCTCCCTCATCCATTTCTTTGCCGAGGACTATGTGGAGTACAAGAAGAAGGTACCCACCGGGCTGCCCTTCATCTCAGGCGTCCGTGTCAACTAGTTGCAGGAGCTAAATGCTGGACATAACAGACTTAAAGCACTAAAGCAGGTCAGACCTGGCGGGTGTGTAGCAACTGCCATGGCGGCTGCCCTCCGGAGGGAAACCGTGCAGCTGGCTGAGAGCCTGTAGCTTACAGACAAAGACCGTAACAGCGGGGATGGCGGCAGGCAGCTGGGCTGCTGTTTTTCTACCAACTTCCGAAATCCAGTTAAAGACCAGAAAACCTCCACTGTACTACATTTATTTCAATAACATCCACTCCATGTGTTTCTGTTGTGCTTCTGTTGGCATGCTTTGACCATGCAGTGGTTTCACTGACCTGTTGTAGAATGATACAGTGCTGGGCCCTTTGGTATCATATCCACAGACTGTTAACCATTTAGACCGTTTTCTGAAGTTGGAGTGAATATTTGAGTTTTATAGAAACTTTTTTTTTTCTTCTTTAAATTATAAGATTATTAATATTTTCAATAAGTTGCCATCACTATCTCTAATTAAATTAAACCAATTTAAAACCTAACAAATGGATTAATCAACTAAACTAATTAAAACTTATCCCATGTAGTAGAGATCCTCACAGGTCCACTCTGTTTCTAGTATCCAAGACCCATCCCTGGACATGAGTTGAGCCCATTCAAATTGATATTCATTGTAGTAAAGTTCTGGTACGCTCCCATTCTATTGCTGCAGGTCTCAGATCTGTATGTATCATCATTACGAGGCTGATGGAGAGATTGAGTGAAATGTGCATGATCTTTTTTTTATGAATATAATACATTTGCTTTGAGTAGGTTGTCCACAGGTCTGTTTTATGGTTTATTTTAAGCAGTGTATGAATGAATTTACGAATCCAAACATTGTGTGTTCCTTTAACAGTGTTCCTTTCCAATACCCTTGATTTTAAAGTTGCTAGCTCTTGAAAACAGTATCAAAACAGTGGTAAAGGGGACAATAAATAACATAAATTTTTTTTATTTAAGAATTGTCCTTGAAAGTATAGGTTTCTATCAGGTTCTTTTAAGGCTGTTTAAATTTAGTTAATGAGGAAGCTCTTTCATTTACAGGTGACTAAATATAAGGCTAATAGTGGCTGATTTTTGCCTAATCCTGATATCCACTTCCTCATTGTGCACTCAGGCTAAACACTTAAGTCACAAATCACAACATAAGTTTGAATAAAACTTTGTCAGGTGGTTTTTCAAAGAGTTGGATTACAAAATTGTGTAAAGTGACCATTGTGTTTTATGTTTCTCTTTCAATTAATTGAGACATGTTTGTGTATACAAGGGCATGTGGCATGACGGATGATTAAAAGTTGTGTATCACCGAAGAAGAGTTGGGTTCAAGTCCTGCGGCCATATTACAGAAACTTCCTATCTTAAGTCTCCATTTAAGATAGGAAGAGTCTTTTTCCGCATTTGGTATCGCAGAAGCTAGGGCTGTTCATTTCCCTCCTGTACTTGCCTGAATCTGCTGTGTCTTCATCTCTGGAGTCAGAGCCCTGGTTGGAGCCAGCTCAATCAGCAGGCCTTCAAGCTCTCAGTCCTGGTGCAGGCAGCTAAAAGGACCGCCAATTAGCTAGTGGCAGCAGCTAGTACAGTTAGCATATGCAACAGTGCACCAGTAAGTGACTCCCTGTTTTACAAGAGAAAAGGTCCATGTTCAAACAATCCCCTGATACTTCCCGCTCACAAGACGCAGCTCCCGAACACATTTTGGCATTGTTTTGTTTTTCTGCAACTAGCTGACCAATGAAAACTATTAGGGCACACCCCTAACAGAAAAAGATCCTAACTAACTTGAGAATTTTACTTCATGCTATCATATCTAGGGTTAAAAAATCCCAAATACTCAATCTGACATTGTTTATTAACTTTTTGTCTGTTGCCTAGAAACTGATGCTACTTCTCTCATCTTGCCAAGCTAAACCACTTTGTAACTGTTTGGTTTTCTCATTGAAATATACTGAAACACAGATTGAAACATACAAAAAATGAAGCAAAAACAACAGGAACTTCTTAAATAGGGATATGAACATTGACTAATCAGTAATGGCTTTTATGCTAAATTAGGTCCTAACTCTTAATTACCATTCAATATAAGATCTGCAAGTTAGAAAAGAGTAGTTAGAAAGTTTCTGTAATCCGGCCCCTTATCATCATTAGTGTGGAAAAGGAAGTGTTAACTCACTGTGTTATAGCCTCTTTTGTGTTTTTTGTTTTTGTTCTCGATTTAATATATAAATTATTGTTTTGTGATGAGTCATCATCCTGTGTCTTATCATTGTCATCAGTTTCTCCTGTTGACCTGTCATGCTCACTTTGTTAGAAACAACTATGCTTTATACTGCTATGTAGGGGTTGAGCGAGGCTGACTGCAGCTCTCTCTCTGATCTGTCTGCTGCCCTTTTGCCATCAAGGCAAACCCAGTGCTCGTTCTGGGCTGGCACTAGTTCCAGTTTGCAGTTGGTTTAACTTGAAAAACTTTTTAAAACCAGTTTGCTTTTCTACAGGCTAAGAGCCACTGTACAGCCATGACATCATATTGGTGTTCTTCTCCGTTAGCTATTGTTACCAAGATTACTATTAAGATAAAAATAAAAAAATATGAGAGTGGGGTTTTAATAAGAAAAGCTTCAATGGATAACATTTAAAACAATGAATCTTCTAATTCAGAACATTTGGGAATACACCATGTTTCTGGAAGACTGCCCATTGGTCAGCTCCTGTATTAACACATTTCAAACAAATGTCAAATGATTATTTTCAAGGGTAGAAAACAAATTTTCACAGGTCTATTCTCTTTGCTTAAGGACTAACTAAAAGCAGCATGGCACTGACCTAATGTTACTTGCCACTAAATGTTTCACTCAACATGGTTTGATAGCATTAGATTTGTAAATTCTGTATGCTACAGTTTTAACTGCATACAAGTATACCAGGGGTAGACAACTAGTGGCTCCCTGTGGCTTTAACAACAAATTATATAGAAATAAATGTTATTTTTTTACATTTTCATTTGTCATTGTTTTGGACCAAATCTAAAATGCAAATTTAAAAAAATAAAGCGTTTAATAGTGTGTGGACAGATTGCTGACGTGCAACGGTAAGCTACTGAGTCATTTCCGGTCACTGCCTGCTCCGGTGTACATTGTTTGCTGCTGTAACGTTAGCTCTGTCCCGTGAATGCTAAAAAGTTACTGTTTTACTCGCTTAACATTTAAACGTAGACTAGTTCTATCTAAGCACTCGGAGCTACTAACCTTTTTTTCAGAGAATTTTCGCTACAAATTACGATGTTTGTTTTTTTTCACACGCTAGCTACATTAGCATTAGCAGTTAGCGATGGCTTCTCCTTCTGCTCTGTCCTGCTCAGTGTGTCAGATGTT